GTCTCTGTGGTGTCCCCTGACGCAACCCGCTGTCCCCAATGTCCCCCCAATGTCCCCACTGTCCCCAATGTCCCCAATGTCCCCAATCCCCCCACTGTCCCCAATGTCCCCAATGTCCCCGCTGTCCCCAAGGTGCTGAACATGTACGGGAAGGTGGTGACAGTGCGGCACCAGGCTGTCACCAGGAAGAAGGACAATCGCTTCGCGGTGGCGCTGGACTCGGAGCAGAACAACATCCACGTCAAGGACATCGTCAAAGTCATCGACGGCCCCCACTCCGTGGGTTGGGGGACTGCTCAGGACGTTTTGCGGGGTTCCGGGGGGCGGGGGGTTGGGGGCTCCTTAGGGCTCTTTGTGCCATTTTAGAGGGTACCTGGGATGTTTGAGGGTTTCATGTGGCATTTTGGGGGAATTGTAGAGTTTTTGAGGTGTTTTGGGGGGAGTTCTTAAGGTGTTTTAGGAGATCCTTGGGGTATTTTGGGGAGGTTTGGGGGCCTCTCAGGACTTTTTCGGGGGTATTTGTGGTATTTGAGAGCTCCGTGCTCTATTGGGGTCCCTCCTGCCATCTAGGATGCTCCCTTCCCTCTCCCCCTCTTTTTTCTTTGGGAATTTTGGGGGGGATCTCACCACTTTTTTCCCCTTCATGACAAAAAAAGGGCCGTGAGGGCGAAATCCGCCACCTCTTCCGGGGCTTCGCCTTCCTGCACTGCAAAAAGCTGGTGGAGAACGGGGGGATGTTCGTCTGTAAAACTCGGCACTTGGTGCTGGCAGGGGGCTCCAAGGTCAGAATTCCCCCCACCCCAAACCCCCAAATTTTCCTGGTTTCCCCCCATTCAACCCTGTTTTCCCTCCAGCCCCGCGACGTCACCAACTTTGCCGTGTGCGGCTTCGCACCGATGTCCCCCCGCATCAGCAGCCCCATGCACCCGAGTGGGGCCGGTGAGTTGCCTCTGGGGAGTCCAGAGCGGGTTTTGAGGACCCTCGGGGACCCCTCCCTGACGCTGCTCCCCACTTTGCCTGGTCCTCCCCCAGGGCAGCGGGGCGGTTTTGGTGCCGGGGGGCTGAGCCGGGGGCGCGGCCGGCGCGACAACGACCTCATCGGGCAGACGGTGCGGATCTCCCAAGGACCCTACAAAGGTGGGTGCAGGACCCCTCCAGCCCCTGCCTAAAGACCCTTGGGGGTCTTCCCAAACCCTCTGACCTCCCCAAATCCCTTCCCCACAGGGTACATCGGGGTGGTCAAGGATGCCACGGAGTCGACGGCGCGCGTGGAGCTGCACTCGACGTGCCAGACCATCTCTGTGGACAGGCAGCGGCTGACCACTGTGTGAGTGGGGGAGGGGGATGGTCCTGGGGACACCTCCACAGGGTGGGGGCGGGCCTGGAGACCCCCACCACAGGGTGGAGTGTGACCCCCTAAGGGTCAAGATGGTCCTTGACACCCACAATGTGGTCCTGGATCCACTCCCCGATGAATCCTTGTGACCCCCACTGGAGCCCCCCCGGCTCTTTTTGGGGTCTCTCTTCCCCCCTGACCCTTCTGTGTCTGCACAGGGGGTCCCGGCGCCCCGGGGGTCTCACCTCGGCCTACGGGAGGACCCCCATGTACGGCTCCCAGACCCCCATGTACGGCTCGGGCTCCCGCACCCCCATGTACGGCTCGCAGACCCCCCTGCACGACGGTGAGTGGGGACACTGGGGACCATTTGGGGACACTTCGGGGGGTCCCAACCCGGGGGGGGGTGTGATGGTATTTTTGGGCTGAGCCCCAGAAAGCTGCAGCCCTACTAAGGGGTCACACAGGTGGTGAGTGAGGGGCTTGGAGAGGGCTTTGAGGACAATTCAGGGGTCCCTGCACAGTGGGGGTATTCAGGAGAGGTGATGATGTGTTTTTGGGGTGCCCCCACAGGAAGCCGCACCCCCCACTATGGGTCCCAGACCCCCCTGCATGACGGGAGCAGGACCCCGGCCCAGAGCGGGGCCTGGGACCCCAACAACCCCAACACCCCTTCGAGGTGAGATTCCCCCCCCCTCTAAAATAACCCAAATAACTCAAAATAACCCAAAAACCTCAACACGCTCTCCAGTCGAGACCCTTCCTCCAAAATAATCTCTCTATCCCATCCTGATTTGCAGAACCCCTCTCCAGTTTCCCTCTCCTTTGTCACGCCCTTCACAATTCCCTGCAGTTTGGGGCTCCCCCTCCCCAAACTCCCCCCCAGTCGGGAGTCTCCCCGCTCTCTACGGGGGGGAGGAGGGGCAATTTTTTGGACCCCTCTCCAAATTTTCCACCCCACAGGGCAGACGAGGACTTCGAGTACGGCTTTGAGGATGAACCCACCCCGTCCCCTCAGGGTTATGGGGGAACCCCGAACCCCCAAACCCCTGGCTACCCCGACCCTGCGTCCCCACAAGTCAGCCAGCCCTACAACCCTCAGACTCCCGGCACACCCGCCATGTGAGTGGGGACCCCAAATTCCCCCCCAGAATCTGTGGGGTCAGATGCCGGGGAGTGGGGGTAGCCTGAAAGGGGGTTGGAAAGGAGGGGGAAATTGTCCTGGGGACCTGAAATTTGGCCTTGGAACTGCTCCTGGGAACTCCAGATCTGGGGTTTGGAGGGTGGGGTACCCCTAAATGCTGAAGGAGGAGCTGGGGGGACCCCAAAATGCTGTTGGAAGGAGAAAGTTGCTCCTGGGGATCACAAATCTTGGGGTTTGGGGGGCTGAGGGACCCCAAATCCTGGTTTGGGTGGGTGGCGGGAACCCAGTATGTGTCTTGAAAGGGGCAAACTGCTCTTGGGGAGTCCCCAGATTCCCCCTGGGACCCCCCAAGCATGACCCTGGGACTTCACCTGTCCCCAGGTACAACACGGAGCAGTTCTCGCCCTACGCCGTCCCCTCCCCCCAGGGCTCGTACCAGCCCAGCCCCTCCCCCCAGAGCTATCACCAGGTGGCCCCGAGCCCCGTGGGCTACCAGAACACGCACTCGCCGGCCAGCTACCACCCCACGCCCTCGCCCATGGCTTATCAGGTACC